AAAAAGCTGGGATAGAGGTTACTGAGAACAAGTTTCCTCTGCTATCATGTCTAAATGACAAAGCATTATGAGGATTTTAAAAACGAATGTTCAGATTTCCAGAAGGAGGTAATATCTGACTCACCTATAGGAGTAGGCTTAAAAATAAAAATAAAAACTCAGAGGTCACTAACAAGTAATAAAACAAAGACACAAAGACTTAGAATTTAAACATCAAGAGACATTCTAGTTTCCCCCATCCTTTTTAATCCACTATAGAAATGGGGAATTAAAATGATTTTTCTCTCTGTAAAGAATGAATATGGCTCCCCAGGATGACTCTTCACTTAGTTTTTCTTTATTTAATTATTAACACCTCAAATAAAATTCATAGAACACTCAGTGAGAAGTGTCTTAGACACATTTGCCAAATGAAATGTAAATAGAAGTTTAGACGATTGTATATTCTTTCATTCAGAATTGAATGACATTTCCCCAAATCTCAAATATTTACATTCTACATTTATTTTTGCTCAATTATATATTCTTTAGAGACCTGGTCTTTCATTCTCCAGAAACGTAAAGAAAATTATTTTTTTACTATTCATTGAAATTGTTTTATGAGACAACTGAATCACTTCAATTGTTCATAAAAGGTTTTCTGTTGCATTTGAATTGTAGTAGCTATAATTAACTGATGAAAGTTAAAATACATACTTAAATTACTTCTGTGTACCATAATTGTTGACATCCATGAGTCAGCACTAGTATTTTATGACAAAAACTGCTAAACGTCACCAGTTCATTTTTTCAGGCCAATAATGTGAAAATGATTATAATTATTGCAATAAATACTTATAGATTAAGCTATATTTCAATAAGGAGAGCAATTCAAGTATATGAAAAGACAACATGAAGTACTCATAGATCTCCCTTCTAGATTTAGAATTATAATCAATAATTTTGTCCCCCCCTTATAGTTATACTTTATGGTTGGACAAATGAAAGATTCCCCAACTTAACATCTTAGTTTAGTATTCTGTTAATTTTCATTGAAAGAACGACTTCAAATACTGAAGTCATAGAGAATAAAGGAGCAAATATGAATTTCATCAGAAACTTGAATTTAAAGTTACAACTTCAATGTACTTAACTACTCCAATCAAAAGCTTAGGCAAGTAATTATGCACAGGCAGGTAATTATGCTTTTTAAAGAGTATGAATATTTCATCAAATTCTAAATAGAAAGCATTATATAAGAAAATCAGAAAGATTACAGAAAATTAACTCAACATACTGTTTGCACGTGTGTGTATTGCAAGTACTAGTTTCAAAAGATTCCCAGAAGAATAGTGTCTCCCATCCCTATTTATTCTTAGATGATTGTTTAATAGTGAAGTCAGTTTATATTTGAAGACATTTTGAATAATCCTATTAAAAACCAATTCAAACAATGAGGCTCATGTTTAACTCTTCTGTTATTTATCCATTAATCTCTCTAAGTGCTTCCTTCCTTAACACAGCTGTAGTTCAAGAGGTGGCCAGCAGTTGGCCTCCATTTCTGTGGATTTTTGTGAATGCCCAGATTTCTTTTTGCAAACTTTTTAAATGTTGTATGCCTAAACAACTTTTTTATAACTTAAGAGCTCATAAAAAGTTTTCAAAAGTAGTCCAAAAGAAACAAATTTTCTTTTAAAAATAAAAACCAAACAAAAGAAAGCCACACACACTGTAAGGATGTTCTCTGCAAAACAGTCTGTTCAGCAAATTTGAAATGTCTCCAAAGGGATCAAGAACCACTAGGTTTGTTAGCAACAGTTGAGAACTCATAATAGGTTGGTTAAAAGCCAATAGTGACAGCCATGAAGAAATCTTTAGAGTAGACTAGGAGTGGCTGAGATACCAGGCACTGGGCCTTCCCTAGTCTCCCCATTCCATTTATTTGGAATGCCTTCAACTGCACCATTCAATCAACTGTTCAAAAGTCTCAGTGCTTAGTCCTCTGTTCTTTCCTCCTTTTATTCTCCCCCCTAAACACTGCAATCCTACTAACTATGATGTGTACAGAGACAACTCACAAATCTACATCTCTGTTTCAGTTACGTCACCCAAACTAATCCCCTATCTCCAACAGCTAACTGAAATATTTCCACCAGGATATGCCATTATTATCTCATGCTCAACACATACAAAACAAACTTACTCATCTTTATCAAACCAATTCTCTCTTTCAGTTTTCTTGGCTTTGTTAACATCAATCCCATTTTTCTGGTGACCAAGACTCAAAACCACAGGAGCAACCGTGAACTCCCTGTTGACCTCTATCACTCACATTCAGTTGGTTCATGTGGCAGATTGCATTTTTCAAAGATGGCCAACACATTATCTCCCATCCACATATACAATTACAGTATGATCTTGCCACTTTGCCGTCAAAAGGTGGATTGAATCCGGGCTGGTCTAAAGACTTACTGATACCCAAAGGAATATGACTGAAGCAATGCCATGGGCCTTCCAAGGCTAGGTCAGAAAAGACCACACAACTTCTTCTTGGTTCTCTTGGAATACTCCGTCTGGGGGAAGCCTGCAGCCATATAAGAATGTCAACTACCTCAAGACTGTTAATGCTAAGTGAGAGGCCACATGTAGTCCCAACTAGGCCCAGTCTTCTAGCTATCCCCACTAAGGTTCCATAAATGTGAGTGAAACTGTTTTGGATCCCTTGTGACCAGTTCATCTGCCAGCTGAATGCCACCAATTGAATTCAATAAATACCCTGAGAAGAATCATCCAGCTGAGCCCTGCCCTAATTCTTACAACACAAAATCATGAAATGTAATAAAATGTGTTCACGGCTTTCCTTCTAGGCATTCGATATATCATGTCTGTAGTTGTTAGTATTAATACATGGGGCCAAATGTTAACTAAAACACATCTTTGTCTCCACTCCCAGAGCCATCATCAGAGAGGAAGCCCGCATCATCTCAGATCTAGATTGTTACAACTGATTCCAGGTTCTCCTCACTATAATCTGTCATTACAATCTATCTAACCTAAAACTTCCAACCAAAAAACTACTTTTACCCCACCAACCCCACAACCAACATCAATCTCATGTTTTACAACTGCAGGAAATTCTAAATGCAAAAGGGTCTTCATAAATATCCATTTTATTTGATCCATACAGCAAAAGCAAGAGATCTGTTAATACAGCAAATATTCTTATCCTCACTTTAGAGATGAAGATATTAAAGGCTAGGAGGTTAATTTTTGTACAATCTCAGAGTGAATAAATGGAATGGATATACACAGAACTAAGAGCTTGAGTCACAGATCACTGCTATTCCTCTATTCTATGATGCCTCCTATGGTCCATTTCGATCAAAAATGTTTGCTGTCTCTCTCCATCCTGAATATAGCAATCTGTCCTCAAGGTACTCCATAATTTGGCCTCAATCTAGCCACTTGTCTGGTATTTCCTACCAACCCTACCACCAGCACCACCACTTCAGGAAAGCTGGCTTATTTATTCACCTAACAATAAGCCATGCTGATTCTAGCCTCTGAACACTTACACACCATTTTTCCTTCTTTCTCCTCCTATCTACTTAAACCTTATTCATGCATTAGCACAAATTCTACCCCCTCGATGAAGCCCTACCAGTCTACCCCTTTTGCTTTCACTCTCTGCTGTTCCTATAGAATTTGTAAATTTCACCCAAAATTTGACAGTTTAAATCTTGTTCCAATGTGTTGGTTTTATGTTCCAGGGTGGTATTTAGTCAACACACACTCAGACAGTGATGCTGAGTGCTTACAGCCAGTGTCTGTTCTGGCCAGTCAGTGCTCATGCCATATCTTTTGTTAAATATGATGAATTTCATCTCTGCTTATTTCCCAAACTAAACCATAAGCTTATTAATAACAGGAACCTTGTCTTATAAAAAAAGTATTATATCTTCCAAACCAAGCACAGTACTAAGCACACATCTAATAGTCAATATATATTTGTTAACTGATTTGAAGGGACTGGAGTGTATGCTATGTTGTGAGAAAAAAATATTCATAAGTCATGTCTACACTAGAAACAAAGAGTTGAAAAGATAAAATATTTTCAAGATCAGCAGTTTAATGTCAGGGACATTTTTTTAAAGTATCATTTAAAGACATTTTATGCAGCTCATAACTGCCAAAATGTTTTATAAGTGTTTTTACCAGGAGTGTGAAAAAAAAGTTTCAAAAATATTCAAGCAGTAGATGTCTTGAAAGCCAAAAATAAAATGTTTGCTGAGGCTACAAGGCTGGCAGAACTCTGCTTCATTTCAAAAAGTTTCCAGGCAATGGAAATGTTTTCCTGGAAAATACTACCTTTTATTTAGAGAACACTTGACATGAACACTTAGTCATTAAGTAATTTAAGGTTTCCTCACAAGCTCTTTGGAGGAAATCTATTATATGAATGAATGAAATTATCAGTAACTGTAATGTCAAAAAAAATACATTTGGTGAAATATATGAAATCTATCTAAGTACTTTTCCAAGTAAGAGGGAAAAAATCTTATACTTCTTGGTCTACTTATTGTTCTTTTAAATTTTTCTATAAGATAAAATTACAAAGAAAAGAGAAAATCCTGAAGTGTTTCTTCCTGAAGTGTAACACATACAACTCCAAAAAACTGCAGGGCTTATTTTATTTGAAATGCCAAGTAATTTTCAAACAAACATAACGTTCATTTTATCCAGTGAAAAGAAATAGCAATTTCAAAGTTATTTTTAGAAAAATCTTTGAGTTTTCTTCAAATCACCTTTCAATGAGAGATCAACTCAGTTTGGATATTTCACTCAATCATCTGCAGTAAATCATACAATGAAACCTAAGAAAACAATTTCTTCCAAGATTTTTGTAGCCAACCAAGTCTGATCCTTTTAAACATCAATAGACACAACTAAATGTCTACTGCAAGCACGTGGTTTGTACATTTAGTCTTTTCAAAATGTACACAAAAGGATAGTTGTTTTACCTGTTTAGTATTTCAGTGAGTTTCACAAAACCAGTATAAGCCAGTTCAAATGCTCCTCTGTGCCTGGACTGTAAAAGGTGTTGTTTAAAGTAATCTCCTATTTCTTTTACCTTCAAAAAAAAAAAAAAATCAAAAACAAATGTTGAATTTATGCTTACACTTACGGATATATTTATATCAGTAATATCATTTGGAACCCAGGTCCATCCAGTCAGCACTTACCATGTAACAGGTAATGTTTTAAGCATTTTTATAACATCTCATTTAATCCTCACAATAATTTCATGAAATAAATACTATCATTAACCCTACTTCACAATGGGGAAACTGCGGCCCAGAAAGACTAAGAAACTTATCCAAGGTCACACAGCAAGAAAGCAGTATGCTCCCATATGACCCAGGCAGTCTGGCTCCAGAGTCAACCATTGGTACCCGCTGCATTAGAACTGCCTCCCTCTGCTAGCTTCACACACCTCAGTGTGTCATTTGTTAGCTCAATCATTAAACCCACTGAACAAAGTGACAACACTTACACACATGGGTCTAGGTGAAATAATTACCATTTTTTCCCTCTTTCTAAATTTTTTTTATTGTGGTAAAACATATGTAACAAAATTTACCATTTTAACCATTTTTAAGTGTACAGTGGGTGGCATTAAGGACATTCACATTGTTGTACAACCATCACCATCACATATTTACAAAAATTTTTCATCTGCCAAAACAGAAACTCCATACCTATTAAACAGTAACTCCTACACATAATTGTTAATGATAATGCAAGATTTAGCATAAAGGGCCTCCTGAAAAACTAACAGGCTTCACTCTGAGTCAGAACCATGGAATTTGCCAGAATGCCACCCAATCACTTTCCTACATGTTGTCTTCTCCATGCAAGACTAGACAAATAACAAACATGACCATTAATTTTATTTTTATTTTTAGAGATGGGGGTCTCACTATGTTTCCCAGGCTAGAGTGCAGTGGCTATTCACAGGTGCAATCATGCACACTACAGTCTCCAACTCCTGGGCTCAAGCGATCCTCCTGCCTCAGCCTCAGAGTAGCTGGGACTACAGGCATGCACCACCATAGCCAGCCAGACTATTTATTTTAAAGAAAACTGACAATTCACTTTTCATTAACATTTTGAATAGAATTAACCATTAGGTTGATTGGGCTTTTATACCACTAGATTTGGTGGTTACTGGATTTAGAAAATCCACGTTTTATATAAAACTCAAGAGCAAAGCTAGAATGGGCTATCTCTTGATCCAGGTCTCCCTACCAGATCACAGTATGGTGAAACGCAAGCTGTCCCAAAATATCTCCAATATGCTTACCTAGAAACACCTTCTACATCAGCATAGGAATTAGATTAGTGTTCTGCATACATTACAGATGATAAAATGTAGGAAGAGTAGTTAAACATTTGACCATGGGCAAGTATCTCAGTTTTCTCATTTAAAACTGGGGATACTAACAGTACTTAGCACACAGGTTGTTGTATTAAAATGAGTTAATAAATTGAAAAGATCAGAGCAGGCCCATAATCTATAATTCAAATCATTTCAATATGAGTTCTGTCTGGGGTTCTAAATAGATGAAAAGTAAAGATATAATCCATACTCAAAGTATACCTGATTATAAAGACATAATGGGTGATATATTGAGGGAAACAAGAATCAGATATGAGACCAACAAAGAACCAGAAAAGCAGTATATAATGGATTTTTTTTTTTTTAATTCTAACTCTTAAGTATCCCAAAGAATGACAGGTCATGTTCTTCAGCTAAAGTTCTCCTATAAAGACCTGATGATACATCAGTTTAACATTTTTTAAAGGCCACATACTACTAGTTGTCAAAATCCAAAGTCAGGATAAGCCTTATTTTACCTTCAATATGACAATTTCAGAGTATATCTTGAACAGAATTATCAAGGCTTAAATTGGAATTCAACCCCCAAAATAGGTCTGAAGCTCAATAATTCTACTAAATAAGGACCAGAAGAAACACCAGTGAGCCAACTTGTAATGACCATTATTTCTATTATTAAAAAGAAGATTTCTAAGGTGTTTCATGTCACAGAAAATAAAAACAGAAAGTCACACAGATGGGATCTCTCTAACTTCCTTAATTTTTTTTACCCAAAATGTTACAGATATTAAAACATACTTTAGGAAAACATAAACACTACCGACAAAGTGCTTCTCTGTAGACTTACAACAGTTCGCAATCTACTCCTTAGGCAAAGATCAGATTTTCATTGCTTCCTTTATCCTAACTCCCTTCAAAGGAGCCTAAACTAAAAAGCTTATAATAAAATCAAAGACTTCAGAAGTGTGACCAGTGGGTGGTCTTCTCAAGGGTGGACCTCAACCCTAGGTAATCCTGGCCTCAGAAAACAGAATGATATTCTTAGGACAAAAGTGAGATGTAGACAGTTTTTCCTCATTTCACCTGGTACTTAATCTCCCAAAAAACTCACATAGGTAGTATTCAGGCTTATTATGAACCTTTCCCTTTGAAGAGAGTATAAAATTCCTATTAACCAGACAACAAGTATTTCTTTAGCTCCCTGTAAAATGCTTAGCAGCTTAGTGATGGGGTAGATAGAGAAGATGAAAACAAGATGTCTGTCCTCAGTAGGCTTTCAGTTTAGTTTGGCAAAGAAAACCAGTATGTTGGGTGGTACCCATTTGAAGCACAATACAAGAAATGAAAGATCCTTCTGCACTAGAATAATGAGAAAGACTTCATGTCCAGACCTTGAACAGGATATACAATACTTGGGTGGACCACAATGAAAGAGGGTAGTTAACATGAGAAAAGGCTGGGAGACGAGAGTGAATGAACAAACATTTATTAAGTACCTGCCACTTGCCAGATGCCTGGCTAGGTCTTTTTATATGAATGAATGACTATACACAGCCAAGGGTTAGGAGACCTGGCTGAATGACCTAGAGGTTTCATGCTAGAAAACAGTGACATTAAGGCTGCAAGGCAGAGATGAATCCAATTACAAAGGGTAGGAGGAGTCAGCAGGGCAGCCTGGTCTATGAGCAGCTGAACAGAGAGGAAGGACCATGTTGAAACATTGATAATCAGACAATAGGGAACAGATTTGACTCAAACCACTTACAGACTTAATAGCAATAAAATCAGAAACAGAATCTTTAAATTTAATCTTTAAAGTGAAAAAGTCCTCTGAAAACTCTGACTCAATTGCCTTTGCATTAGATATCACCGAGTTCCTATTTAAAGTTCACAAAAAGCTTTCTTTTTGGATAATGTCTTCACAAAATAACTCTTTTGGAGATAACTATTAATTTTTATTGCATTTCTTTCCAGTCTTTGTTTTCTTTGTTTTCAATAAAGTTTGATGTCTATACAAAATTAAAAAACAAAACAAAAGAACCTCTTAGAAAAGACAAAAACTTCCTTCACTTCATATATACCTACGAAAACCCAGCAAGCAAGCATCATATATAATAGTGAGTTGTTTTTTAAAAATCCACCTAAAATCAGGAACAAGACAAGGATTCCTGCTATCACAACTTCTATTAAGCTCTATTCTGGAGTCCTTAGCCAGCACAATAAAGTAAGAAGAAATGAGAAGTATAAAGATATGAAAGGAAAAAAACAAAACTCTTACTGTTTGCAGGTGATATTATTTTCATAGAATCTATAATCTACAAATTAATCAAAATAATAGAGTTTAGTAAGATGAGTGAATATAAGATAAATATACAAAAAGCAGTAGCATTTTTATGTACTAGCAACAAAAAGTTCAAAAAGGTAATTTTTAAAAAGATGCATTTACAATAACAAAAAAATTAAAATGTACCTTTTGATACAAATTTAACAAAAGACATGCAAGCCCTTTTATGAACAAAGATTTTTTTAAAAATTTATAATTGACATATAATAATTGTACATATTTATGGGATACATCGTGATATTTCAATACATATAATAAATAGTGATCAGATCAGGGTAATCAGCATATCCATCATCTCAAACATTTATCAGTTCTTTGTGCTAGGAACATTCAACATCCTACTTCTAGGCTATTTGAAACTATATGCTATTGTTAACTATAACCATCCTACAATGATATGGAACACTAGAACTTCTTTTTCTTATCTAGCTGTAATTTTGTATCCTTTAACAAATCTCTCCCTGTCTCCCCTCCCCCCTACCCTTCCCAGCCTCTAGTATTCTCTATTCTACTTTTAACTTACATGAGATCAATTTCTTTTAGCTTCCACATGAGGGAGAACATGCAGTGTTTAACTTTCTGTTCCTGTCTTATTTCACTTAGCATAATGTCTCCAATTCCATCCATGTGGCCATGAATGACCATTCTTTTTGTGGCTGCATAGTATTCCATGATATATATATACCACATTTTCTTTATCCATTCATCTGTTGTTGGACACCTAGGCTGATTCTGTATCTTGGGTATTGTGAATAGTGCTGCAATAAACATAGGGTGCAGATGTCTCTTCAATATACTGATTTCCTTTCTTTTGGATAAATGCCCAGTAGTGGACTGCTGGATTGTATGGTAGTTCTATTTGTAGTTTTTTGAGGAACCTCCATACTATTCTCCATAGTGGCCATACTAGTTTACACTCCCACCAACAGCGTATAAGAGTTCCCTCTTCTCTACATCCTCACCAGTATTTGTTGTTTTTCCTCTTTTTGATAATAGTGGGGTGAGATTAATACCTCATTGTGGTTTTGATTTGCATTTCCTTGATGATTAGTGATGAGCATTTTTCATATATTTGTTGGACATTTCTTTTGAGAAATTTCTGTTCAGATCATTTACCCATTTTTTTAAATCAAATTATTTGGTTTTTTGCTGTTGAGATGTTTGAATCCCTTGTATATTAATCCCCTGTCAGATATTTTCTCCTATTTGGTAGGTTGTCTTTTCATTCTGTTGATTACTTCCTTTGCTGTGCAAAAGCTTTTTAGTTTGATATAACTCAACTGTTTATTTTTGGTTTTGTTCCTTGTGCTTTTAAGATCTTATTCATAAAATCTTATCCCAGGCCAATGTCTTGAAGCATTTCCCCAATGTTTTCTTCTAGTAGTTT